ATTAACTCTTTCCTTTTAAATTAATAAAATGTTATAATAGTTTTTGGTTATTATATCACTAAAATGATGTTTCTTAACTTGAAAATTTTTATTAGTAACTAACATCTATCAACTAATTCATTATGAAGTTAATGAATTTGTAAAAAAATTAAATAACTTTTTGTCTGATTGAAACAAAAAGAAGAAGACTATATTCTTCTAAAAAAGTATTAAAAGTTTCCAATGAGTTAAAGAAATTCAAGGTTTTGTGTAGAGTCATTTGAAAAATAAGACTTAAATTCACAGATATAGGATTTATTATTTGAAATAGTCAAAGTAATAGATGTAATTGAGATAAATTTTCTAATTTAAATAATCATAGTTGAAATACTCTTTGTAGTCATTCTTTTTTGTTTCTTTATAATAACTAAATTTTTATTTGTTGAATCTTACCAAGTCTTCTTTTTATTACTGAAAAGGCAATCCCGAAGGTTGATAGTACTTAAATTGTATTTATCATAGAAGAAAAGTATAAGCAGATGAACAATTTAATTAATTATAACTCTAGTCCTCTTAAAACAATGAAAAAGGTAAAGGTAGATTTAAAGTCATTTGAAGTTGGAGAATGTTCAATGCTTCTTAGTCTTCTTGGAGAAGAAGAAAATAAAAATACTTTTGCTTCTAATATTCCTCCGGAGCAAAATAATGAGAAAAAGTATTCAGCTAGTGATAAACGAAAAGACATTGCAGATATTAATCGAAGGTACACTTTTAGACTAAAAGCATTGAATGTTGCACTTAACACTACATTTAGAGAATGGAAAGATTTGGAGAGTAGAGGGTTTGACACGAAAGAAGTTCAGTCTAGATGGTCTATTCTTAATGAAGAGTATAGAATAAGTAAAAGAAGGGCGTCATTAGAGATTTATGAATTAGTCCAACCATTGTATAGAAAAGCATACGGAAACGATGGTGTTCATGACCTTCATGGTCAAGGGATTAAAAGTGGAAGTTTGGTTTTTATTGTTTCTACTATTCTTGACAATGAAAAGAACTTTATAGACCCAAAGAACAAAAACATTGTTTTTGATATTGGAGATGAAAATGATGGTGAATGGCATATGCAAGCTGTTTGTGCTATCACAGTATGGTTAAAAGAAAGAAATTATAACTTTTGGATGAATGAGACAAAGAGATTTGTATTTGTCAAGATTAATTAAATAAAGTTTTATTATTATGAGGCTTCTATTTTTATTAAAAATGGTGGTAGAGAAAGTTAAATTTTAAGAATTACTTTTCATGTGAACTATTACATATAACTCCTAATATAACACTCTTATTAGAATAAAATTTATCATTATCATTAAATTAAAAAGGAGTAATGAGAAATAACAAATATACTAAGTGGTATACAGAAATAATTATCAATAATTTTAATAACCATTATTTGTAATGTAATTCTAAATCTCGTTTTGTTATTAATTGTAAAAATTTTAAAAATTAAATATATTACTTTATTGATAAGTTGTTGAAAATTATATACATTTTGTTTCGTATTTATTTTATGAATAATGTTTAATTCATACTTTCAATAATATTATATTATTGATATTATTAATATTTATTTTTATCACAAACATATTTGTATAATAAGTTTTGTATTTTCTTCCATTGAGAAAAAAATGATAAAACAAAAATACCTGATTAGTTTAATTCATTAATCAATTCAAGTTTATAAGTACTTGAATTGAATAATACTAATTACTTTTTATTTATTTTAATTAGTATTATTTATAAATAGTATGTATTTATTGTCTCTCTTTTTATTTTATTTCTTTTTATATTACTTCAAATATCATTTCCAATGCAAGAAATACAACATATGTTAATGCAATGGATATTGTGTAAAACATTTGTGTGTTGTAAAGAAAATAAAACAAGACATAGAAATTCAATGTTATACATTAAAAATGAAATGTCAATACCAATAAATGGCATAACATTATCAATATCAATAAAAGTAAATGACATATCAATGAAAAAGGGATTAGAAGATGAAAAACACAAAGAAAAACAAATAAG